TCGACCAGGCTGGCCTCAAACTCACAGAGATGCGCCTGCCTCTGCCTCCTGAGTGCTGGGATTAAAGGGGTGCGCCACCAATGCCCAGCTACCATTGTAGTTTTTTATGTGCAAAAAGAAAAAAGATACAACAGTATTGGAAATAAATTAGCCAGTTGTAGCAGATATCTTTGAATGAAAGAAATAGTAAAACCGGCAGGAACACTCAGAGGTGTTGCTGAACATGAGCTTTGAGAAACTTCCCAGTGTCTTCCTTTTCTTTTTTCTTTAATCATTCAAACTGTTTTTTTTTTTCTGAAAATTCAAACAATATATTCTGACCATGATGTCCTCCCTGACCCTGCGCACCCACCCCGTCCACTCCAAACCTTTTCTCTTTCTGTCCTTAGAAAACAAACAGGCAAATAAAAAAGCACACAAACCAGACTTTAAAACAAAATAGCAAAAAGGCCGGGTGGTGGTGGCTCACGCCTTTAATCCCAGCAGAGGCAGACGGATCTCTTTTGAGTTCGAGACCAGCCTGGTCTACAGAGCAAGTTCTAGGACAGCCTCCAAAGCCACAGAGAAACCCTGTCTTGAAACAACCCCCCCAAAAAACAGCAACCCCCCCTCTCACCAACACACACACACACACACACACACACAATACACATAACGCAGAATTAGAAACCATAATATACAAGCAAAAGGCCAGTCAGATTTTTAAAAACGCCCAAACAAAGCAATATGAGATAATAAAAATCTACAAACAGACCACTGGGTTTGTTGTTTGTTAACCATCTACAGCTGGGCATGAAGCCGGTCCTTAAATGTGGTTTACATGACCAGTGAAACCCCACTGGAGAAAAATAATTTTTCCTTTACAAGTGGTTGTCTATAGAGATAGCTCCTTGGTTAGGGTTGGGAGCTCATGTCCACTTCCCCCTCTCTGCACTGGGACTCCATTTACCTTAACTGGAGACCCTGTAACTTCCACAGTCTCTGTGAGTTCATATTTGCATCAGTCCTGTTATGTGTGGAAGATGCTGTTTCTTTGGTGTCTTCCATCTTCTCTGGCCCTTAGAGTCATTCTGCCTCCTCTTTGGCATAGCTCCCTAAGCACTGAGGGGAAGGGTTTGGTGAAGACATTCCATTTAGTACTGCTATAATGTCTCTCACTCTCTGCATAGTCCAGATATAAGTCTCTGTATTAATTCACATCTACTGCAAGAGGAATCTTCTCTGGTGATGGCTGAGCAAGGGACTTATCCATGGGTGCAGCTGAATGTCATGAGGAGTCATTTTATTGCTACATTACTTTAGCAGAACAGTAGAGTTTTTTTCCATAGGCCCATGGCCCATCTAGTTTCAGCTTCTTGGCTACCTGAGCAGTGTCATGCACAGGTTACAGCTCATGGATTGAACATCAAATTCAATCAGATAGTGATTGGTTACTCCCAAAACATTCATGCCACTATGATGCCAGCATATCATGCAGGCAGGTCAACTTTGTAGATCATAGTGTTTGTAGAAGAGTTGGTGGGTACATTTTTTTTCCTATGGCAGTGTAGAGTTGACAGAACTTCTAGTAACATGGACATTAGTAAGTAGGGGTGAAGGCTCTAGTTAGGCACCAGCTCAACTTCTTTTTGTTCAATGAGATATGGAAACGTTTTCTTCAGCAATAGAGCTTTTTCATCAGTTTTCTTCAGCAATAGAGCTTTTTCATCAGTTTTCAGAGAGAAACCAAATAGCTGTGTCAATAGCCTCAGTTATTTGGGGTTTCTATGGAGTCCAGCTGGCCTATAACTCAATTAGATATAATGCATTCCTGGCATTAGTGGTGAAAAGATGTGTGGTTTGGGCCATTGTCTCCCCCACTATTTGGTGACTCCATTTAGATATCTTTCACATATGTATATATTTTTAGAAATTTCTAAATTGCAGATTTTCATATGACCTTTAAAATGGCCCTTAGTGTTAGTTACACCCCCATATCATATTCCCTCCCTTACCTCCTTTCCATCCCCCTCCCTGTTTAATCCTCCTGTTCCAGTCTGCCTTCTGACTTTCCATAACTATATATTCTGTTCACCTTCCTTGGAAAATCCTCCCCTCCCCACTAGTCCTATATTCTCTGCATAACCTCTGTGATTATATAGATTTTAGTATGTCTTTTGAAGGCTTAAAAGCTGACATCCACATATAAGATAATACATACCATATTTGTCTTTCTGGGCCTGAGTAACCTTTTTCTCAGGATGGATTTTTTCTTGATACATCAGTTTACCTGCAAATTTCATAATTTTTAATAGATGAATAATATTCAATTGTATAAATGTACCACATTTTCTTTATCCATTCATTCTTGTTGAACATTTAGGATGTTTCCAATTTCTGACTATTACAAAGAGAGCAGCAATGATCATGGATGAGCAAGTGTCTCTGTAGTAGGATATAGAGTCCTTTGGGTATATGCTCAAGAATAGTATACCTAATCTTGTGGTAGATGTATTTCCAGCATCCTAAGGAACCACCCATTGATAAACATAATGGCTATACAAATTTTCACTCCCTTAAGCAATGGATGAGTATTCCCCTTATCCCACATCCTCTACAGGATGACTTGTCATTTGCTTTATTGATTATGGCTATTATAACTAGTGTAAGATGAAATCCCAAAGTAGTTTTGATTTGCATTTCCACGATGACTAAGGAAATCTTAGTCATCTCATTAAATACTTCTCAGCCATTTGTTTCCTCTTTTGAGAATTCTGTTTAGATCTGTATCCAATTTTTGTTTTCTTGATGTCCTATTTTGAGTTCTTCATATATTTTATATGTTAGCCCTCTGTCAAGTATGTTGTTAGTAAAAATCTTTTCCCATTCTGTAATCTACTGCCCTTTGTCTGAATTATGGTATTCTTTGTTATCTTAGTGATTTGAAAGAAAATAACGCCCAAAGGGAGTGGCACAATTAGGAGGTGTGGCCTTGTGGAGTAGGTGAGGTCTTGTTAGAGGAAGTGTGTCACAGTGGAGGCAGGCTTTGAGGTCTCATATATGTTCAAGATACTACCCAGTGTCTCAGTTCACTTTCTGTTGCCTGAAAGATACAGAAGTCTCAGCTTCCTCTCAAGCACCATGTCTGCCTGAATGCCTCCTTGCCCCACCATGACGATAGTGGACTGAACCTCTGGACTGTAAGCAAGCCACCACAATTAAATGTCTTCCTTTATAAGAGTTGCCACCAGGCGTTGGTGGCACACACCTTTAATCCTAGCACTCGGGAGGCAGAGGCAGGCGGATCTCTGTGAGTTCGAGGCCAGCCTGGTCTTCAGAGCGAGTGCCAGGATAGGCTCCAAAGCTACACAGAGAAACCCTGTCTCGAAAATAAAAAAAAAGAGTTCCCATGGCTGTGGTGTGTCTTCACAGCAATAGAACCTCTAACAAAGACAGAATTTGGTATCAGGAGCTCTTATAGGCCTGACCATGCTTTTATTTGGAGAAATTTGGACTTTGGAAGTTTGGTATAGGAAAGCAGTGGAATGCTTTAAGTGCTGTTTAATGGGCCACACTACTAGGAACATGGAAGACAGTGGTGCTGAGGGTAATTTGAACTATGAGGACCTGACTCAAAATTTCAGAAGAGAATTTTAGTAAGCGCTAGAGATCATTCTTGTGATATTTTGGTGAATAATGTGGCTGCTTTTGGGCCTTGTCCAAAGCCATTGCCTGAGGCTAAAGTGAAGAGAATATATTTGTTGCTTTGGTAGCTGTTAGTAGTGGAGGTTTCTTTCTGTTTTTTTGATTTCAGCTCTGGGTTTTCGTATTTCTTTCTTTATGCTCCAGTGAGAAACTTGGTGTTATTCTTTTTTTCTTTTCCTAGATTTTTTATTTAAATTAGAAACAATCTTATTTTACATATTAATTCCAGTTCCCTCTCCCTCCCATCCTCCCCTGCCCCCCACCACACCCGCATTCCATCCCCTCTTCTGCTCCCCAGGGAGGTTGAGGCTTTCCATGGAGGATCCTCAAAATCTGTCACATCATTTGGAGCAGGTCCTAGGCCCTCCCCATGTGTCTAGGCTGAGAAAGTATCCCTCTATGGGGAATGGGCTCCCAATGTCCATTAGTACACTAGGGATAAATACTGTTCCACTACCAGAGGCCCTATAGACTGCCAGGGGAATCGGGGGTCTGTATTCAGAGTTGTAATCTCACTGAATGGAGATTAGGTAGGAAGTACTGTACCTGCAAGCAGACTGGTACAGGATGGGGGTGAGGCTGTAGAGACTGTAATAAAGGAAATGTAGTAGAGTGAACATCAACTACCTGAGTCCAGGTGTGTTGTGGTCACTGGAGATCACAGTAGAGAGTGTTTCTTGATATCCTTGACTAACACAAAGGAATGGGAATGGGCTAGAAGGGGGTTGAGTGGGTCCACAGGAAAGTGGAAAGCAATGTCCACACTAAGGTTCAGGAAGGTCCACAGAGAATGGAGGTAGGTTGGGAGGAGGGACACTTGCAGGCATAATGCTACAGTGCTGGGGTGAGACTGGAGAGCCAGTTACTTGCTCTTAAAAAGGGGCAATGATTCTGTAGTAAAGCAGCCCCTGCTGGGCCCCTACCTCACCACTTGGAAGAACAGCATATAGGCACAGAGACACTGGTATTGTGACTTCATCATTATGATGCAGTCCTGTATGGGTTGGGGGAGGGGTAATGTGGTAACACTCAGGATCATTTTGTTCTTCCTCTTCTGGCCTGTTGTCAGGGAAAGGCCAGATGGCAGGCTAAAATCCAACCAAGCTTGTGGTCTCTAGTGAAGTCAACTCCAGCATATCAGAAGCTCTGATCACCTTCCTCGGGTAGTCATCTCTATTTCCTGTTCCAACCATGACAGACGACTATCTCCAAGTGTAAATTGAAACTGGAAACAGCTGACAACTTTTCACCACAGCACTGTAGTCAAAGGATCCTGTCAACCAAGACTCTTACAAACCTTCATCTACCAACCAGTCATGGACCCATCAGGCATAAACCAACCAGACATGAACCAACCAGGTGTAACACAACCAGGTGCAAGTGAACCAGATATGAACAATTCAGATATCAGACAACCAGGCATAAGCCAAACAGACATGAATCAACCAGTTATGAGCCCAGCAGGCAGAAGCCCATACAATATGAACCAACCAGGGCCAAGCCAACCAAACATCAACCAGCCAAGCATCAGCCAGAATGGCATTAACAAACCAGATGTGAAAAGACCAGGTGGAAGCCAACCAGACATGAACCAACCATGCCTGAGCCAACCCAATATGAAACAACCAGAGCCAAGCATGGACCAGCCAGCCATGAGCAACCCAGATATGAACCAACAAGGTTTGAGGCAGCCAGACCCAAGCCAACTGGATATGAAAGAACCAGGTACAAGTCAACCAGACATGAATCAAGCAGGCATGAGCCAAACAGGCATAAGGCAGTCAGGCTCATCTCCTTCCATCAGGAATGAAACGAACTCATGGCAATGTGGTCCAGGGTATCCAGGCAGGAGTCCACCAGACATGGGGCAAACAGGACAGAGACAACCAGATACATGGAAACCAGATCCAAGTAATCCAGGAATAAAACAAACAGAATCATGGCAATGGGAGTCAAGCTCTCCAAGCTTGAGACAAACAGATTACAGCCCAAGCCACTTAGGCAAAACATGTTCAAATCCATGGCAAACATGCCTAAATCACCCAACCAATGGACAATTAGACTTTAGACAACCAGGTCCCACAGAACCAGGTATGAAACTATCTGATACATCACAACCAGGCCCTAGTCAACAAGTTATGAGACTACCAAGCCCAGGGCAAATAGGCCCCTGCCAACCAAGTATGAGACAATCTGACACATGTCAACTAGGCCCTAGCTTATTAGGTAAGAGATTATCTTTCAGCCAACCAGGCACATGGCAACCAGGTCTCAGTACACCAGGCATGAGACAGTCAGGCATATGGCAAACAGCCCCTAGCCTATTAGGCAAGAAATTATCAGGTACATGGCAACTGGGTTTCACCCAACCAGGCATGAGACAATCTGACATATGTCAACTAGGCCCTAGCTTATTAGGCAAGAGATTATCTTTCAGCCAACCAGGCATGAGACAATCTGACACATGTCAACTAGGCCCTAGCCGACCAGGTATAGAACGGTCAGTAACACAACAACCAGGCCTTAGACCATCATATATGACACAATCAGACACGAAGCAACTGGGTCCTAGCTCACTGGGCATGACACCATCAGACACAAAGCAATTTGGCCCCAACCAACCAGGCATGACAAAATCTGATATGTATCAATCAAGCACCAGTCAATCAGACAGGAAAGAGTTTGACACATGGCAATCATGCACCAGTCAACCAGACAGGAAAGAGTTGGAAACATGGCAATCAAGCACCAGTCAATCAGACAGGAAAGAGTTGGAAACATGGCAATCAAGCACCAGTCAATCAGACAGGAAAGAGTTTGAAACATGGCAATCAGGCACCAGTCAACCAGGCAGTAAACATTGGGATTCATGGCAATGGGGTCCCAACTACCCAGGCAGGACACAATCAGACAAATTGCCAATAGGCCATAGCTCCCTAGGTATGAAACAATGGGATTCATGGCATTCAGGCCCAAGCCAACTGGGCATGAGATATTCAGACTCATGGCAATGGGGCTCAAGCTCAAGCATGAGACACTCAGATTTATGGCAACCAAGCCCTGGCCAATCAGGCATAAGACAATCAGGATCATGGCAAACATATTCAAGCTACCAATACACAAAACAACTGGATACATGGCAACGAAGCCCCAGCATCCCTGGGGTAAGACAATTATACACATGGCATCCAACCCCCAGTTGGTCAGGTACAAGACAATCAGAAAAATGGCAACCAGGTCCCAGCAACCCAGACATGAGACAATCAGATACTTGGGAACCAACATCAAGGCAATCAAAGACAAGCACCAGCCAGCTGGGTTTGTGCCACGAAGACATGGACCCATCAGAGGAAAGCCAACCAGAAACCACTCAACTAGGCACAAACCAATTAGAGACAAGCCAACCAGATACCACCCAATCAGGAACTAGTGAATTAGATACAAGCCAACCAGACACTACCCAATCAGGCCAAAGAGGAACAACACAATCAGATATATCAGAGAGAAGTTCAAGTCAATCAGAGAGGAAAGCCAGCCCATCAGACAACACCATCGAATCAAACACAAAGCAAGTAGTCATAATTTCACCAGATGAAAGTCAATTAGAGCCAAGTGAATTAGTCATGAGTGATTTAGGTATAAATCAACAAAGAATGATCCAATCACCCACAATAAAAGAATGTACTGCTCCTTTCTACATAAGACCTGCTATGCCTGAAGACTGCCCAGAGATCCTACGACTAATAAAGGTAAGCCTGTATCTTCTTATCCCTTAGAGATTAGTTCAGGACTGAAAGAACAAAAGGAATGCATAGTCTAGGTTTGAATCTAGCTCTGTTAATTATGATCCATATACATAGTGTTTTGGAATTCACTAAACCGTTCTAATATTCATTTTCCATATAAATCAAGATTATAGTAATTGCTACACCAAGAGATTGTTGTAATGTTTTTATATGCAGAATATAAATTTTAATAAAATTTGAAATGTGGAATATAGCTTCATTGGTAAAACATATCCAGAAGTCTGTTCACAGATACATCCTATGAGTCTAAGTAACTGAGTGAAAGTTTTCTTATGCATACATTTATTTTAATGTCATTCCTAGAAACCATACCAGTGCAGTAAGGTGACAATGTAATAACTATAGTTACCATGATGGAATTTTGATGTACTGATGGCAGTCATTCATGTGATACAGATGTGTATTCAGTAGTTCTCTTTGCCCTTTATATTCTTTAATATATTTCCATTTCCCCAACACCTGATCATTTCTAAATTTAGAAAAACACTCTTTGCAAAGGAATTTATCAGTTTCCCATCAAAATTCCTTAGCTAAAAGACATCACTATGAGGCCCTGAGTAGCTGTATACTAGCATTGTAGCAGAGTATAAACCTTTTTCTGTGCTTGATCTTAAAAATTCTAATGTTTTGGTGTTAAAATGTTTTGCAGATGCATACACTAAATGACATCTTCCTCATGAGAAGTGTACAATTTTTTTTAAGTTATACACATATTCATATTATAAATCCAGGATATACTAATATCAAATAAAGTAGGTGAAACAAAGCTGGTAGTTTCTCAAAAGCAATTTCAGCAAAATTAAATACTGCAACTGGAGTTTTTATTACATAATTTGAAAATTACTAGAATACTCACTGAACATTTGTTCTGTTCAGGACTAAACAAACAGTTAAGATGTAAGTGACTTGTTAATACTATGAATTAGACTATGAGTACGTATATAGTGTCTGTGCTTTTATATATGTTTTCATATATACATGACCATTGTAATACATACGAATTAGATGTTATTACATAATTTCTAATACTAGGAATAATATTTTAAGTGTCAAAAATAACACTGCTCTCTTCAACTAATGGCCCTTTTATTGTGGTTCCAGGATTTTCTTTTCTTTGAGACTTGTACTTAACTTTTTCGCCTCTTAAGAAACAAATATAGGGTCTTGCTTGATTTTCTATAGCAAACAAATAATGCCTCTCTGCCATAAATAACTGACAATATATGCTATAATGTATCATCTGAATCACAGACCTATGGTATTTCAAATCTAAGTAATTTCAAAAGAAAGCAAACATTACTTAAGCTTACATACTTCAAATAACTATACCTTAGTCCAAATTTAGATAATTATCAGAATCTTCAACCCTGGTAATAATTCTATAGTTTTAATTTTCTGTGAAACACTTAAAATTTAAGAAAATTTTGGCATGTTCAGAAATAATTAAGACTTGTTTTTAAAATATAACTATGTGGTGTTTTTTCTTTTTGTTCTAGTTTTGTTTTGTCATGTTGTACTTTGTTTTGAGACAGGGTCTCTCTCTGTAGCCCTGACTGTCCTGAAAATCAATATGTAGACAAGGCTCGCCTTGAACTCATAAAGATTTGTCTCTGCCTCCCAGGAGCTGAGACTAAAGGTGTGTATCCTTATGCTTGGTGTTAAAGTATAATTTTTTAAAACAGACCTTATAGCAAATCTTAAATTTCCATTTTCTGTATAAGTGTTTGTTTAAAGCCAACTACTGTACAAAATAAGCAACCAGTTAGAAGCTTTTATTTTTATCTGGTAACACCCTAATTTGAAATTATTTGTGCTAAATGAGATTTTTAAAAATTTATCTCCTTTGTAGACATTAAAACAGCAATCATTTGATTTTAAATTGTCAACATATCCAAAATAATAGTGAAAACTGTTAATGTGAATTCATGTAAAATATATGTTGATTAGTACACTTATACACATAGTATAGATACCATATAGTTGAAAATGTTACAAAAGTATGATTATTCCTGAACTGTTATTTTCCTGCTGTACTCCAACTAACCAAGAACATATGAAGAACACTGATATGGAAATGATATAGTATGGACTGGGTAGGACGTTAATAATGAAGCTATATGTTTATGTCTGGATTTTTTGAAGAAAAAAATTAAAAGTCATTTTGTCTTACTTAGGATTACCATTGCTGTGATGAAACACAAAGACCAAAGGCAACTTAGGGAGGAAATGGTTTATTTTGCTTCCATATCCCTAGTCACAGTCCACTGAAGGAAGTCAGGACAGGGACTCAAACAGGGCAGGAACTTGGGGGCAGGAGGTGATACAGAGAGGCCATGGAGGAGTGCTGCTTACTGGTTTGCTTCTCATGGCTTGCTCAGCCTGCTTTCTTAAAGAATCCAGGACCACCAGGCCAGGGGTGGCAACACCACAAAGGTTTGGTCCCTCCCCCACCAATCATAAATAAATGCTCTACAGGATTGTATGTAATGGCTTAAATATATACAGGCCTAAAATGACTATTGCTGGATCTTATGGAGGCATTATCTCTGTTTAGATTCTGTCCTATCAAATTGCTCTTATCTGTGTCAAATGACATAAAATGAGCCAGTACATTGCTTGTTTTTGAAGAACTTAAACTTAGTTCAGTTATATATATCAGTAAGGTCTTATTCAGGGTTAGGAAATATTCTGATTAATTTTTGTATCTTAATATGGGAAAATATGATATTTTCAGAGTTTTGTCAATGTAAAATAAAATTTAACCTGGGCTTTCTTAGAAAAAAATAAAAATGTAAATAAAATAATGTAGATAAAAAGTTTGAATATAAGAGAACATAACAAAACATTAGAAGAAAAGTTTTAAAAATGTTTAATACATGAGTACATATGTATTTTCATATGGCTGACATGATTGAATTTGGCATTGCAAATAGAAAATGTATGCATAAAAATTAAGATTTTATTGTTTTCCTTGTTCAGCTCATGTTTAAGCAGTCATTTTGGTGAGAATTTATTATGGGTTTAAAATCTGACATTGCTAAGTAAGCAAGGAGTATATGGGAGGGTATGAAGGGAGAAATGATGTAGTTACATTATAATCTCAAAAATAAATGAAAAGGTTTTCATAAAATTTTCAGACCTAGCAAAAGCTTAATGAAGAATCCAGAAGTTCTCTAAAAGCACATGTGAGAATATGGTTTTTTTTATAAGGGATATTTCAAATCACTGAAT